TGTGTGTGTGTGTGTGTGTGTTTACCTTTACTGCCCCAAGAGGCCAGCTGTACATGTGTGAGTCACATGTCTGTTGTGCTGTGCAAGGGTTAGTGTGTATAAGTGTGAGCACTTCCCTCCAACACCAGTTCAAGTTCAAACTCTTGTGTCATTGGTCCTCACAGTTGGACCATGTAGTTTAAAGTTCACTGGAGGATGTTGAACCTCTTTTGCTCACCCCTGACCAAGCTAGAGAAGCTAATCATTCATTGCAAACACAGTATGTGTATGTAGGTGTGTGTAAGTGCATGTGTGCCATCATTAGTCAGGAGAAAGTCATTAGTCAGGTATACATATAGAGTAGTTAATGAGCCTGAGGGGAGCTGGATATATGTTTCTTTTTGTGTGTGTGAGCGTGTGAGGCATTGGGCAATATTGCTGTTTTGGGACTTTTAAGAAAAACAGCCTCATTTAATCTTGAGCAGACCGATACCTTGAGGGATTTCCTCTTCTTGTGTCTATATATCATCCAAGACCAACTTTTTAGCTCGTGCTCAGAGGAAAAGTGTTGCGAGTCTTTCTGCTGTCATGCTCTGACATTCATTTTTCTTTCTTTCTTTTTTAGGTTTTATTCAGTATCTTAAGAGATCCCAGATACGCACATTTTGATTCATTTTCACAAACGTTCTTGCAATAAATAACTGTGCAATCCCTTCATCTCTTTGTTTAGTCTTTAAAAAATGTAACACATCCAAAATGAACAACCACTCTCACTTTAATCATGCCATGTTATAACAGACTGATAAATTGAAATCACAACAGAATAGATAACCTTTTTATTTCACTCTTAAACTACTGCCACGTTAAAAAAGAATAATTAAAATGGCTTAAGGCCATTTCCCTGCGTCAGGAGCAGTGCTGGGCTCTCCAAAATCACGACAAACAGTATCCCACAGCTGTTTATGTTTTTAAACCCATTTTGCACAGAGAGGCATTTTTTGAAAAATGTATTGATAGCAATGTTGAATATTATTACACATGAAAAAAAAACAACTACACGTAAAATAATCACACCGTGACGCCTCTGCTGTTGTAAATGGAGGGACAGTAACTGCGTGTGTATATGTAAGCGTTTAAAAACTGAAGATAGTCAGATTAACAGTATTTTGTCTCTATCTGCCAGTCTGCAATTCATCTCATGTAAACAATAACATGCGCACAGCGTGACGTGAAAAAAGGCACATACCTTTGACGTTGCGTTTTAAAAAATCTCAGTTTTCGGTGATTCGAAACGGCGTTTACGTGTGGACGAAACAGCTGCGTTTTCAAAAATACCCGTGTAGATGCGGACGTGAAATAAACCGCAATGGAGCAAAATATGGGTGTGTGTGGTTGGAGGATGTGTTTGTGCGTGCGCACGTGTGCGCGTGCGCCAGAAGAGGGGGGCACGAACATTTTTCTTGTAAAACAAAGAGGGGCCTAGCAAAAAAAGTTTGGGAACCACTGACTTAAGGCATTAAAACATCCCATCACTTAACAAAGCTGTTGAAACTCAGCGTGCCTGCACTGCACTGATAAGGTTATTTACCTTGTGTGTCAGACACAGATGCATTTTGCTACAATATGAGATAAAAAAAAAAAAATGTATATTTGTGGTATTTCTATTTTCAGTAAACACATGTATCAGACTTAGCTTTGCAAATGTGAACACTGTGTTTGCTGTTTCCGGCTAATCTTTGAGTTTTGGACTGTTGGGTAGGAAGAATGAGCCATATGAATAAGTCCGTTTCAGTTTTGGGCTGCAAGTTGAACATGCTATCAATTCTTTTTATTCAGTGTTTTGGAAGAGGCTCCCAACTGTCCTGCAGGAATTTGTTTTCCACCCCCCAAAAAATGGAGAGGAGAAGTGTTCAAAGAAGTGACACCCACTGTGACACGTTTACACAAAATACACGTGACTGTGCCAGACGAGCAACGATCTGGGCCTCGCTGACCTCCGGACTGTGTTGTTACTCATACACGATGAGCTGGTGCATGGTGACCTCACCGAGATAAGAATGAATGCTTTTTGGATAGATGGGATCATATCAGTAGACACGCATGCACTCTCTCCTATACAGAGCGAAATCTGACTCTGTAACCTCTGCCATAATACCTTGTTGACAACCATGCAGCTGAGTCACATGTTCAGGCTTTTTCACAGGCGTGTTTATCTCTGAATGTAAGTACAAGTGTGTGAGGGGTAGCCCAGAGTTCCAGGAAAACTGCCCTGCTTCGCTGTGACAGACCTCCTCCTGTCCTCTCAGTTTTTAGGTCTGATTACAGCAGCTTCAGCTGAGCAGCTGGCAGCTCGGCTATTTGCGTCGCCTGCTGCTAAACCTCAGCACTGTGGCTGATTTCAAATGAACTGATGTTTTACAAGAAAGGCAAAAAAAAGTTTCTGTGCCTGCATCACTGGCAGTCGGTCATTTTCAGTTTCTCTGTATTTTTCTTCCTGAGAATATGCGCAGACACCCATAGCTTCCTCTTTGCAATCAGCCTCTTTCATCAGCTTTTACGTGGCAGAGAAAGACGAAAGCTGCTAACTACCAGATACAGAATACCCATATTAAACCCGCTTCTCACGATCAGAGCAGGAAAGCACTCTGGCAGGATTTAACAGCTGTTTTTGCAGATTTTAATAACGACACGTCTACGGTCGTGTGAAAACAGCCTCCAAAATGTCAGCTTCACACCAGGTAACAGAAACAGCCTTTTCAGTCATTTATTATTTGTAATCAAACCTTTTGTGTAGGGGAAAAAAAAGTTTACTAAGTTAACATACTGTAGCTCAGAGCAGGTTGTCTACTAATCGGAAGGTTCGCGGTTCAATCTCTGGCTGCTCGAGTCTGTATGCAGAATATCCTTGGGCAAGATAGTAACCCAAGTTGCTCTCTAATGCATTCATCGAAGTGTGAACGTGTGGATGTTGGATAGAAAGCACTAGAGCATAGAAAAAGTGCTTGTATTAATGGGTGTGAATAGGTGAACAAGGCATGTTTTATAAAGCAAGTATGTGACTGTGACTTGTCACAATGCATGTCCTATTATTTTTAGCTGGTGGCCATATACTTGAATACTATTCCACTCATGCACATCTTAGAACTTTTTACCTGCTAATGTCTTAACATACTTGGTCTGCAACTTGCAGTTTTCATTTCTGATTATTTTTCAAGAGGCTAATTTTGGTTTATTACAAAAAAAAAGTGTTAAAAATGAGGTCAGTTCTACCAAATCACTATTTTTCTGACAAACACTCTAACAGATTATGTCCCACGGTGTTATGTGCAGGCGTTACTTCAGGACTTCAGCGTTGTCATACATATTGATTGTTTGGTGAAGTTTTGTTGATAAAACTCAGCCACAAGATTCAGTCTTGTTTTCACATGATGTTAGCATAATTTTATTCGGATATTCACGTGGATTCAAATTACAGCAAGACAGGTTAGGCGAGTAGCTTGTTGCTAGGATAAATTATAAATAAACTGTGCGCTTTGCATCCAAAACTAATTGGGGATTTTAGTCGGGTCATGAGATGACAGTAGTTGTATTGATAACTGCAGTAGATGCTGTGCTGCTTATGTGTCATGCACTTTCTACATCAGCGAAGAGCACCACACGTGTCTCAAAAGCCGACGAGGATATAATATCGCAAGAACAGCTACTCGTCCGTCTGTGCATCTGCAACCGAGAGTAATCCTGACCTTAGAGGACATGCTGTTGTTCCTGCTGTGCACAGACACGTGTGCACACACAGAGTTACTCAAGAATCTTACAATCCACAACCAGACTGGCAGCACCTGAAGTTAAGGCCACACCTGTATTACTTGCATGCATGGACACACATGAGAGGTTATCCATGAGAGATGCAAAGACCGGAGGGCACACGTGACTGTTTGGCAGTCACCCAGATACCCTCTGCTGACATAGTGCACTGGGTCATTTGCACACAAGTACACCGAGAATCAACGTTAGGTGAAACAGCAGATTTATGAAAATATTGCCCTCAGGTGTGATGGAAGCTCGGTGCTTTTGTCCCTTCCTTGCATTTTTGCGGCCTCTGATTTGTTCTCATGTGTGGTTAAACACTGTGTGCACACAGATGCAAGGAAAAATAAACTTCGGAGACGTTCACTTTCAGTTCCTAAACGGCATGTCATGGTCAGTAGGCACACGTGCACGAGCAGAGACCTTGCTGTTGCAGTGTATTTTGCTGGTGGGTCTTTAAAAACGGGGTTAGTCATGCATTATATATAAAACAGGACTCTCATTCTCCCTCTTTCTGCAGCCCACTTGTTCTCGTGTCCCTCTCTGTCTCGCCACTTTTTCCCTAATTTCCTCACTTGGCCTTTTCCTGCTCCTCTGGAGTATTAAAAAGAACAAGAGGGATGCCATTTCTAATCATCTCCTATTAAACATAAATGAATCCGTGGCTTGTTAAGAGGAATAAAAAAATAACAATAATCATCAGTGTATGTGTTTTGATGCATGTGTGGCCTTAATACTTATCAGCTTTCCCACCTGAATCCGCACACATCATCGGTGTGTCGGCGAGCGCTTAACTGTGTGCGACTGTTTGTTTGCGTGTCAGTAATGATGAATGACTGTGTATTTATCACAAAGCGCTAGCCATATTAATTCTGCCACAGACTACCCAGCGGTGACAGCTATTGTGTTGGATTGAATTCACACTGTCTGTTTAAGCCTCTATTTATAAATGATAGCTCAGACAAACAGGGACTGCAGCGATTTAATAATGAAATGGTTTTGTTTTCTTTACATAATAGCTTTAATTTTCTTCCTTTTACAGTTTTGTTAATCTGATTTGGTTGTGTATGCAGTCAGATAGGGATGATAAAATGTGTATTTTTGCATGCGCGTATTTTCTTATAGTTTTTGTGCACCACATGCTGGGATATGGGACAGTTTAAAAGCTTTGCACGGACTGCCTGAGGAGTTGTCAGTAACAGCGTTAAAGGTAGAACGAAAAGAAAAACGATGGAGCTCAATTCTCGAGTTGTAAATTTATGAATGTAAATAAGTTGTTATGTTTCCTGGTTTGAATAGTGAAGTAGATTAAAGGGAGGTCAGTTTATTTTACATTTTGGCTTATTTTTAAACACTTCATTGTCTTGCTTCAGTGGACTTGTCTCGCGTGCTGACAGCGTATGAATCAGCGCGGCGCCTCAGCTGCACGGGCACGAATCTGCAAGGCGGCTTTCAGCTGTTTGAGTCTGAGAGCAGCTGGAGGTGTCGAAACCCTGTTTTTATTTACTTTGTTTGAACTAATATTAGCTTTTATTGCTGGTTTATTCATCCGGATTTTTACTTACCACTACAATATTTTATATTTTATTGTATATTAATAATTATATACCTTGAACTGCAATACTTGCACAAAAGGTGCTATATAAAAAAAATATATATATTTTTTTAACATAGCACATTTAAACACATTGCAGTTATGAGTTTGACATTGACTGAAGTGTTGCACATGAAGCCACTCATGTATATAAGATTTGAACAAGACAACTAAAGGAGAGTTACAACTTTTAGAAAATAAGAAACTTAAAATATTTAATTAAAAAGCTGTTCACTGGTAAAAAAAAAAACAACAAAAAAAAACAACAAAAAAACAAACACTCTAATTTGCTACAGTTAGCTTCAGATGAAAGTGGTCTTAAATATCCTCAGTGTATGATCACATTGTACAGTCTGTGTGCACATGAGAGGAGGATTGCACAAGCTTAGATCGATGATAGCTCCCACATGTTTGAACTGGGTAGCGTGCAGCCAGAGCAGGTTCATGGTAAAGGTGTCAGAAAACAGCTGGTCCTCTTCGACTAAGTGTGTGTGTGTGTGTTTCTTTGCAGAGCGTCCCAGAGTGCGACGACAAGAAAAGGGTAAGCGAAGAGGATGACAGAGGAAGAAAAGAGGAGGAAACGGAGGAGGAGGAGGATGAGAGGAACGGTGATGAAGGCTTCATGGGAATGACTCCACTCCTGCAAGCACACCACGCCATGGAGAGGATGGAGGAGTTTGTACACAAGGTGAAAAAAACAAAACAAAAAAAACCAACCCAACCCCCCCACACTCACAAACACACTTCAGACCCTCGTCTTAACTCGTCTTAACTTATCTGAAAAGATTGTTAGGGAGCGCTCCACCTTTTAATTCCACCGCCCACTAAATTAGGTACTCCTCCCTTGGGGTATGTTTGCTTTACTGAGGAGGTTTTATAACAACACTCAATAAAGCTACATAGTAAACGACAGCAATAAACCCATAAAAACAGCTACGGTAGAGTTCTGTGTTTGCTTCGTTTTTTTTAAAAAAATTTTTATCGCTTATACAGAATGTGTTTCAAAAGACGGAGAGTTTAAAAAAAGAGTTCAGTAATTTTAAAGTGCAGTTTATGAGCATAAAGCTAAAAAAGGCCAGCACTGTTACGCTGCAGGAAGCTCTTCAGATGTGGTTCTTGATACATACCGATGCGAACAGTTACGACACTGTGATGTAAAGACGCGTCACTGTGTCGAAATAAAAATACTCACGCGACTATAAGAATTACAGTGTGTGCTTTTGAAACAGCACAGCCTGTAACGAGTGTCCTGTAACTAAAAATAGCGGTATGTAAATTGGTGGAGTCAGTATATTTATTTACATAATAGCTGTCATTTGACACTCCTGATCTGCACTCCAGTCCAGTAAACTGCAGCAGTTTTCCATTCATACCAGATCATGATGTAGATGTTTTTCTCTTTTTCACTTATTAACCAATCAGATGTGGGAGGGTCGGTGGCGCGTCATTCCTCACGATGTACTCCCCGATTGGCTGAAGGACAACGACTTTCTGCTTCACGGCCACAGGCCTCCCATGCCTTCGTTTCGCGCCTGCTTCAAGAGCATCTTTAGAATCCACACAGAGACGGGAAACATCTGGACACACCTGCTAGGTAAGACAGACAGACAGACACACACACACACACACTGAGAGAGTTTTCTAAAACTCAATACTTTTGTGCATCTTTAACTTTCATTATTATTCATTTTAACCTTTAATCCTAATCTTCAATTGTCTCTGCAAAAATGTTGAGGCATGATGAGAGGGCAGATGTACTGGAGCACACATGCACACACATGCACACACACACCACGAGAACAGGATTAGGGTTAACGGCTGGGAATTACAGGAGTGGGATTGTTTTTTCCTGTGTCTATTTCTGAAATGTATTACTCCACTCCTTATTTTATTCTTCAGCTAATCTGCATATTTATCCAGACTTCATTAGGTAACAGAGAACCTTGTGCAAACCGGCTAACTTGTTACGTTGCATAAAAACGTGTGTGTCGAAAGCCAAGCGGCTGCTGTCAGTAGACGGGTCCAGGAAATCCAGTGTGTTATTTTTCTGCTTGAGTGGAAGAGTTGTAGTTGATCCCAGGTTTTTAAAACTCTTTATTTTATCCTTCCTTCTACACCTCTATAAACAAGTTTTGTTCTTCTCTCTGCTGCCACCTCGTGGCATTGTAGTGGAGAAATAGAGAATGGAGAAAAGTGTGAGTCCTGATACTTTTTCATTTTAATATCACTGATATCCATCTTACCCTGTCATCTCATCTCTCTGCAGGCTGTTTGTTTTTCCTCTGTCTGGGCCTGATGTACATGTTCAGACCCAACATGTCTTTTGTGGCTCCGGTCCAAGAGAAGGTGGTGATCGGGATGTTTTTCCTGGGAGCCATCCTCTGCCTTTCATTCTCCTGGCTCTTCCACACAGTCTACTGCCACTCTGAGGGCGTGTCCAGAGTCTTCTCCAAGTAAGAAATGTCTCAGTCTTCATGCTGTATTGGGGACGTCTTTTCTTCAGCAGTAAGCTCACGATGTTGTTGTGTCTCCAGGTTGGACTACAGTGGGATTGCCTTCCTGATAATGGGCTCCTTCGTCCCCTGGTTGTATTATTCCTTCTACTGCTCCCCTCAGCCCTGCTTCATCTACCTGATAGTGGTCTGTGTACTAGGACTGGCTGCCATCACCGTATCACAGTGCGACTTCTTTGCTACTCCGCAGTACAGAGGAGTCAGAGCAGGTAGATTGGGATAAGTGAGGATGGGTTGGGTTTGTGGTCATGTGGCTTCAGGCCTGTTATTTACAATAGAGGACACCATATTTGGTCCATAAACTGCATATTTCGCTGCTAAGGTGTGGTACTAAGTTTTGCCTCAACGTAACCGTGATTGATTTGGTGTAAAAATATTTAAAAATATATAAAAGCATTTTAATTTAAAATAAGGGGCAGCTGGAGTCTATGGCAGCTGTTGTAGCTAAGAGCGTCTGTGGAAGGAAGCTGGATTACCCATAGAGATCAAACTCAACACCGGTTAAATTCTTTTCAGTAAA